ATAGAACTTGCAAAGTTCTTTGGATATTTAGAGGATTTTGGTGATCAAGAATCTTTGGTTGATAGATGGAGGATGGATCCAAAAATGTGGTGGTTGATTCATGGAGCTTCAGCACCGCTTCTTCAAACAATAGCAATAAAACTTTTTGGTCAAGTATCATCCTCTTCCTGTTGTGAGAGAAATTGGAGCACATACTCATTTATCCAATCAATGAAGAGGAATAAAATAACTCCACAACGTGCTGAAAATTTAGTTTATGTACATACAAATCTTCGTTTTCTATCAAGGAAAACCCCACTTTATATGACAGGTGATAACAAGATGCGGGATGTTGCTGGAGATGGGTTCGAGTGCCTTGATGATATGGGATTATTGGAGGTTGCAAATCTTTCTCTAGATGAACCAGAGTTGGAAGCAATGATATTCAATGATGATGATATTGAAGGCCAAAGACCAACATCTGAATCTAATTTTATCATTCCCTCTATTGAGTAGTTAGACCTTCATGTTGTATTAAATGATTTTTTGCTTATATTTTTGTGTTTGTACTTTGTACTAGACATTTTGTACTAAACATCTTTATGTTATAAGCTAAACAAGTTATCATGAATTGATTTATTATTGCTTGACATTTTTACTATAATGTCACCTTAATTTTTACATATTATATTAAAAAATTATTATGCCGTATCCACGCCGCACCCGTGTCCTATATTTTTAAAAATTGCCGTGTCCCGTGTCCATGTCGTGTCGTGTCGGTGTCGTCGTGTCCGTGTCGGTGCATCATAGGTTATGGACTACATTTGGCTTCGATTTTTTTGCAATATGTTTTTTTTTTTAAATAATTTTTCAATATATATGTCCTGCATCCTTGACTTTCTCGTTCACATCTCTTCTTTCTTTTTGCTTACCGTTTTGTGCTCTTGGTTTATCTTGCAGTCTTTACAGAGCGTGGTGTTCAAGGAGGTATGATTTGTTGTATAAGTACTTAGAAATCTACTGATTATTTCATTCCTTTCAGAATTTTTATTCAAGAATTAAAAGTGACTTCATTGAATATTAAGGTTATCTTGTATGTGTCCTCTATGCTAATTTATTTTGTTGTTTTCTTCATCCTAATTTCATTGCTTGACAGGCTGGATCAGTCGATCCAGTGACAATGATAATCAGCATACTCTTGCAACGGTTTGACATAGGCTTCAATACTGCCCTTCTATCACAAGTAATATTCCTTCGTGCTACAGACTGTTGAATATTTTTATGGCTCTGAGCTTAGTCCGTATCATGATTTATTTTCTGTGAGTAATAAGGCTGTACAAAATAAGAACCGAAAGTTATAATTGGTCCTTTAATATTGAAAATCTGGTATATTGAAGAATTTAACCATTAATTTCGTGAAGCCTAGTCATCTTGATGTGAGTGCCATATATGATCATGAGTGCTGAGTATCATGATCAATAACATCAGATATGATAACAAATTATCTGAAATGTATTTCCTTTTCCTGCTTTATTTTTTTTAAACTCTGCAAAGTTTTTGGAGATAAGCTAACATTGATTCTGTGCTATTTTTGTGCCTCAGTATGTTTCTTTGCTATTCATTGGAATGCTGGTTGTCATGTCAGTTAGAGGCTTTCTATCAAATCTCATGAAGGTAATGGTTTATTCAAGTTCATTCATCTCATAAGCCAAATGCATGTACGTATATTTTTACCTTCCAAGTTATAAACATGGGCCTCCAACTGCTGGAATAACTTTTTTTTTTTAAATATTTATGCATGATTAAACTTGATATAACATCTTGAAGTTAGCTTTAAAAAAGATTTGTTAAATGTTCTTAAGTCCCTGCTTTCCTTGTATTCACGCCATGCTGTTATCTGTATGCAGTTCTTCTTTGCTGTTTCTAGAGTTGGCAGTGGGACATCTTCCAATGTTGTTCTTTTCCTTTCTGAGATTATGGGCATGTATTTTGTGTCATCCATCCTCTTGATAAGAAAAAGTCTAGCAAGTGAATACAGGTATGCCCACATTGCTGACAGATCATGTAGAAATAATTGCATGTTTTTGGTTTATTTGTTTATTGTTTTTATGAAATACTTGTTACCTATGTTAATCTATAGAATTGTTCTTCTTCAAGCATCATGAGATGAGAGTGCGAATATGAATACTTGCAATTTTTAATATGGCGGTTGTTCTAGAATTTGATAATATACGGCAATGTTAAGTGAAAATTATAGTTGATGTTGAGCTGGATTGTGTCAAGAAAAAAACAAAAATTTGCAAAGTTAGAACCAGCGCCGCAGTGCCTCGAACATTAGTGTCGCAGCACCTTCAATGCCTTAGTTGCATCGTGAGAGTCTCGAAAAAATTGCATTTAATCCAGTACCCCTGCAGAACAAATGACAGTGCTGCATCGCTATGAGTGCCGTAGCACTATGAGCGCTTCAACATCACCAGAGGAACACCGCAGCACTTTTCACTCCATCAAATTACAAAAATTTAGCGCCCATTCTCTAGAGTGTCCCAACACCGGAAGACAAGCTCAAGCACTATAGCGCCCATTCTTTTGCAGCGCTGTGATGTAGCAGCTTAGAAAGGAAGGGTAGCGCCAAATTAGCCAAGTGTCATGCCGAGTCAACTCAATGCCATAACAGAGCTAGTTTAGTATCGCCGATGCGCTAGTTCATATTTTAACGTCGCGACGCTGCTCTGTCGAGCGCTGCGATGCCCAAGTTAGTTTGTGATAAACCATTTAATTTAAATCAATAGTCAAATTGCACTTACACTTGTAGTATATGAGTTCATTTTGAATATTAATAAAGATGATTCTTTAGGATGCTTTGTTCATGATTATTTAAATTAAAATTGTCACACTTTGATCATTTCAATTTACATCTAAATGGTGACGTATTATCTTACATTTTAACTTGCAAATTTTTATTTGGATCAAATGGAGCAAATACTTTACTTGAGGATAAGCAAGAGCTTAAGTGGGGGGAGGGGGGTTGTAATGCGAAAATTATTCTTAATTTTATTGTGTTAAATTCAAGTAAAAATATTTGTTTTTGTTGATATTGTGCAGGAATGTCTCAAAAAAAAAAAAAAAAAAAAAAAAAAAAAAAAAAAAAAGATAAAAAATTGCAAAATTAGAACGAGTGCCACAACGCTCCAAAAATTAGCACCGCTGTTGGAGAATTTTTGTCATTCTTAACGCATTGCATATTTTGTGATTGAGTATAACATAAGAAAGATGATATATTATCTCAAAGAATAAAAATATTATTTCTTTATGAACCTAATAACAAAATTTATAATTTTAACAGATATTCCTCCATTCAATATTTGGTTGAATGGGGTTTATTTTTATTCTGGGATATAAATGCTCCATAAAGGCAAGCCCCTATAAGTCAGTTATTGTGGTTACATCATGACTTTAAAATTAAACCAACTCTTTCATCATCTTTGTTGCTTGCAAACAAACTCCACTTGCAAATTTTTTGTCCTTAAAGATGATTCAACGTGCATTATGGGTTTGACATCATATCCATCTATATTTTTGTTTCAATGCAGATGACAATCACAAGTTAATTATTGTCATTCAAAATTTCCATGTCAAAGATCGTAGTGTATTTATGCATGAGTTCTTTGCTTACATGAAATTTGAATGAATTTCATTTTCTTAATTGGCATTTGGATTCAAATTGAGTGATAATCCGATTGGGAAATTTTTTATTATTCCAATCAGGTTCCTTCATTAATTTTTCGTTTTAATGATCCATGGTTATCACGTTAAATATTAGGCATAGGTCCAAGTTCATTCAATGTCAATTTGAGCTCAAAATAGGTTCTTTGCTATTCAGGCTAAGTTCAAGTCCGAGTCCTATTTATTGTCATTTGTTTCAAATCCAAGTCCATTTTAAGTTTGAGTTCACTTAAATCCCTTTTGTTCAATTAAATTCGAGTCAAGTCCTTGTTCATTTGATGCAAAGTCTTCTATTTTCATTGAAAAATTTGGCAGCCTCCCGGCGTCTCCCCTTCTTTAGGGGAAAAATCAAGAGTCAGCCTTCCCCTCCACGCTACATGAGCGCTTTAGGTAGATGTTGGGTGACACCGCGGTTGCATTTTCTTCAATATCCGCTACGCTACATGAACACTCAAGAGTCTTTGGCACCTGTTTAAAAAAACACAGTTGTTTCCACACATATGGGTGCTTAGTTTTCGTTCCCCTCACGCTATATGAGCGCTCCGGGGATTACCCACTTCGTTGCAAGCGTCGCACCAGTTTCTCTCCCTCTAAGCTACGTGAGCGCGTAGGGAGGTTTGCCGGCTCACCGTAAGCGTCGAGTGTGGGAATTTTAAGTTAGAAAATTATACCTTTGCAAGTGTGGAGAGGTTGACGACGATGAGAATGCACAATTTTTTTATTTTCATCATTCTCTCTTTTTTTCTCTTTTTTTTCCTATTTCTTTATTTTTGCTCCTCTTTTTTTTTGCATTTTCTTTCTTTTTTTTTGACTTCTTTTTTGTTTCTTTTTTTACGCACATGCACACACACAATGTGTATGTATATATATATATATATATATATATATATATTGATATTGTTTTTCCCAAACTTGGGTCAAAGGGGGTTGACTTGGTCAAATTGATCAAGCCAGACTCTAAGATCCCTCCCATTGTGTTTAATGGGTCAAACCAAATTTGTTGAGCCAAGACCCAGGCCCTTGGTCAACCTGGTTGACCAATTCAACCTAGGTTGACCCAATTAGCCCAAACCTTACCATATTTTGAATTCTAATCAATTTCAAATCATCCTTGCCTCAATCCCTTACCTAGTTGTTTCTAATTGACCAGGTCAACTCATGGCTTGGTCAACCCAAGCCTTGATTGGTCAAATTTGGCTTATTTAGGTCAAATTCTTCCTATTTAATGCATTTAAATACTTCCTAATTATCCCTTGACCCAAATCACGGCCAAATAAACATGTTCCCTCCTAATTACTCTAGATGTGATCTAGACCTTCCATCATAAGCCTAAGAATTTAAATAGAGCTGTTAGAGCATCTTAGAGGGGGATCTTGCATTCTATTCTTTTCAAGAGCCCCCAAGTACGAGATTTCCCTTTGGTGAACTCTCCAAACCTTCCCCCACCTTCTTCCACTCAAACCCACCGATCAAAGCCACCTCCGGCCACCATTGACTCAAAATCCGTCCAAGCTTCATACCCTTCGATCAAGAATGTTTCAAACCGCGACTTCAACTAAGGATGTGCATGAGGACAATCTTCAAGCTCAGAGAAATCAAAACCTTGAAGATCCCACGGTAAAATCTCATGAAATCTCTAGCCCTAGGTCATAACACAGAGTTAAATAACTTTGCGAAAAATGCTTTTCAAACTGTGAAAACAGCTCCCCATGAACTCTATTTATGTCCTTAGCCTAGTTTTAAATTTTCAAACAATTTGATTGAGCCGTTTGCGATAACGAGTCATAAAACCAAATCTAGGGCATCTCGGTGGTCTGCTACAGGCGTATGTTTTATCCCGCAGTTCGTCTGACTGCGGGTTGTGATCCAGCAGTTCGGATGTCAGTCTAGCATGATCCTGACCGTTCGATCCAGACCGCGGACGATCAGACAACCAACATTAATCGCTGGCATGGTTAAGGAATATAGCGGCCCATGGTATTGATTAACCAATGATTGCCGGCGGTGCAATCATTGTGCCGTCGCGCAATCATTGCCTCGCAGTTTGGGGATTGTGATCCAGCAGTTCGGATGTCAGTCTAGCATGATCCTGACCGTTCGATCCAGACCGCGGACGATCAGACAACCAACATTAATCGCTGGCATGGTTAAGGAATACAGCGGCCCATGGTATTGATTAACCAATGATTGCCGGCGGTGCAATCATTGTGCCGTCGCGCAATCATTGCCTCGCAGTTTGGGGAGCAAACCCCATCTCGCCACGTGCCCCACCGAGCCGCTATCGCCGCTTATTTATTGTAAATTAATTTTAAATTAATTTTAAATGTTTTTAAATCATATTTACTTTAAATAATTTTTATAAATTATTTTTAAAATAAAAATATACATATTATATATCAAAAAGTAAAATTAGTTTAAAATATTAAATATATTTTAAATTATTTTAATCATTAAATACTTGGTATTTTTTAAGTTAATAATTAATTATAAATAATTTAAATAGTTAATAAAATCTAAAATTTTATTTTTAGTATATTTTATTATTTCAGATAAATATTTACGGTATATTTATTTTTAAATTTAAGTTAATTTAAAATATATTATTTAATTTTTTTTAAAAAGAATAACCTTTATATATTAATACATAATTACCATTTAATTAATAATTATTCTATTTCAAAATAACAAAAAAATTATTTTCAAAATCAAAATTTTTTTTTAATTATTTAATTTTAAATTAAGAAATATCCTTACTTTAAGTATTTTTTGATTAATTAAGTACTTAAATTCTTAATTAATGATTAATTAAATTTAAAAATCAAATATTTTCCCAAATATTTTAAAAATTCTTTCTTAAGTTTTTTTAAAAAAGTGGACCTTTAATATTTAATTTAATTTAATTTAATAATTATTTTTAAGTAAAGAGAGAATCACCCGACTCTATAATCTCATAGTTGTTGCATCCTTGAATGTGAATTTATTATCTTCATGAAGATCATATTAATGCTTCTCCGCTAAAACCTAGTAATTGGAAGAGTTGTGTGAAGAATCTTCTTTGTAAGCGACTAATCTCAACTGTTATTTTAGGGGATTCATCGTTGAAAATCAATCACGTATGCATCGTTAGATTAAATTGAATGTTTTATGATCTTAACTCCTTATATGTGATTTAGCCTAAGTCGTTTTAAAAAAAAAACCGCTCTTAATGTTTTAATCTCGTCGTTCAAATCTATCTAAAGACATAATTATTTTGTTCTCTCTAAATTTAAGCGTGGCAAATTCATTAAGTATATCATCTTTGCATGTATGTTTTCA